GGGGGGGGGGCGACGCAGCCCAACCGGCGTGCTGCCAGTCCATCTAGCGCACAGCAGATCAAGTCGCATCACGGTTGTGGGGTTTATTAAGTTCGAGTATGACTAAAATGAAAGCAAGAGAAAAACATAAAATAAAATATGAACCCATTTCACACAGGCAGGCGGGGATGCTGTCCTAAAGCCTGCTGTCGAAGGCACAATACAGATGAGTCACATGGGAAGGAGGGAGGACACAGAGAAGGATGACATTAATTAAATCATGGCGCCTGCTGGGAGGGGCTCCATTACACAGGCCAAGACCCTCCATTAACCAATGAGACACACACACACACACACACACACACACACACACACACACACACACACACACACACACACACACACACACACACACACGCACACACCTTATCTGCTAACACACATAGGTATAGACATCACAAAGTGTTGGAAAATGAAAGCAAAACGCCATTGACAAGGAAATAAAAACGCTTTACAGCCATTCATTCATAACACACAAGTGGATTCCAGACATTGCCCACATCCTAACATGACTAAATCACATTTACTCACCATATCGTTACTTCAATCAATTTCATCATCCCATCTGGTGCATGAACTGATTTAATTTCAGGGAAATCAATAAGGGCGAGATGTTTTTTTTTTTTACTTCAATCCAATCAAGTGCTGCGGTATAAATATACGCCAGCCTGGATAAAAATTTCACACAAATTGTGAGGAGTAGAAATTGATCAAAGCCCGGTGTGCTGTGTGAACCGCTACAGTCATCAGAAATTAGCAACATGATCTTTTTTTTTGTATTGGGCCATGTTCTGATTGTACAAGTCTATTTTTGTGGCCAATGATTAAGTGTCAATTTCAAACCTTTTGGGGTGTAAGAAAATATCCGGAACTGGTATCTCAGTTCTCAAAATTCACATTGCAGTTCATATCACGGTTTTGTTGTCAGGGTTTTCGGTTTGGTTTGTTAAATTATGGGAAAAGTTGTCATTCGGTTTTGAGATACTGTGCATCTTTTGTGACACCAGTCCAGGAAGCTTCCTTCCAAAACTCATATTATAGATCGATAGAATGGTGAGCATCGTGATCTCAATAATCCTTCGGACACGCCAGCCCTCCAACGGTTAACAGAAGTCACATGATCTTCTTCCCCACCCTTCATACCAGCCATGATGATGTTGCCTAATCGGGTCACTGCATCTCGGGCAAGAGGGGATACAATCAACCTCATTCATGAGCACGGAAGAAAACAAGCGACGAGCCTGCAGCCAGTACGACACGTGTGTCGAATCTTCAGACTCGAAGATTCCGTGAAGCCAATCCATCTGGGCTTGTCTGGTCTGCGTTTGCAGTCTGGCACACATTCGCAACAACAAACACACTTTAAATGAGTGCCACGGCCATGGGAAAACGTGGGTTACATGTGCCAAATAGCCATTAATCTTTATCTTCAACCTGCGCTGCAAGCACCTTCCCATCCTCCATCCTCACCCCCTGCCACCAGTGACTCGTCTCACACGGTCATAAAATCAATATGTTCACATAGATCCTTGACACTTGCTATTAGGCCCAGAAAGAAATGGAAATTGCACTGGAGTGATATTCGGTGCAAAGAGACAGAGATAAAAGAAAAAATGCTTCGTCACATGACACAGAAACAGGCTGCTTGGATGAAAAATGGAAAAAAAACTCTCCCCCCTACTTCTAAACACAACATAACAACATACAACTAACGATTATTTTAATATTCAAGTAATCTGTCGGTTATTTATTACTCTTTTGTTGCACTGGCCTGCACTTGATATCTTATTTAAAAACCCAATGTGGAATTTTTTTTTTTTTTTTAGTCTGATGTCGATTTCGATATTTGGGAAAATAAAATTCCAAAAACCGATTAATCGGCATAATTCAGAGAGAAAAATTGGCCAATTTTTGGAGAAATTGTTTTTTAAAATCTTTTTTTACCTTATAAAGTGTTATGTTTAAAAAAAATGCCAGATTTTTGTCAGTTCTGAATGAGCTAGTAATGCCCGACCGATTAAATCAAGCGGCCGATTAATTGGTCAGAACCTCTGCCGCTTCTTGTGAATTTTGCTGCGACCATTTCATGCACCTAACTAAACTTTTGGCTTGCAACTAAAGACAAAAAAAAAAAAAAAAAACAAACGTCAGAGCGCTGGATCATATCTTGAAAAACTCGTGAGTAGAGTCATGATTGGAGATAGCAGTGCAGTTTTAGGATTTAGCTGCAAACTGCTATTGAATATCATACATGTGAATAGAGTATTGGTCTTGTCCAACGTTTATAAATAGCATTCAATCAACTATTTAGTGCATCGAAACTGGGATTTGCAAATTAGCCTGACTAAAATCGCCCAAGAGATGCAAGGCGAGGAAGCCAATAAGCAGCTGACGGGGAGGAACATTTTCTCAAGACCATCTTCTGCCTACTTCGGTGACTCTAATGATCAGCCACACATCTGCTCACAACAACCTTCCTTTTAGAAAAAAATAAATGACGCGTACTTGAAGTCAGGTTGATTACATCAATCTCTAAAACCGATTCGCTCCATTACATCACAACCAAAAGGCAAATACAATTAACTTCCAAACAATCAATAATGCAGAGCTATCATCGCGCATGCTTGTTTGTGCATGTGCCAGCTGATTAATAAGTACATGTATCGATTCATTATTAATCCACGTGTTGCTCATTTGAAATTCTCTTGGAATGAGAATGGAGGAGAATGTGATTCTATCCGTATTTAAATGAGAAGAATGAAGCCAGAGGAAGGGCTTCCGATAGATAAGACTTATAATATTTACAGCAGCGTGGAAGATGAAAAGAATTATTCATTTTGGTGTGTGGCCTTCCTCCCTTTTTAGGCTTGCTCTGTCCCGCCCTCGTGCCGAACGGATTCTTCTTGATGACAAGTTGACATTTTTTGAGAACTGTTGAAATGAACGCGAAGGCAAGCAGCATACGTGTCATGCAACATTCGACATGAATATAACTCAAGTATTATTGTTCACTCGTTTGGCCAATCAGATCAATATGCTCATCACACATGATTTTATAATCAGAACGTCCGATCATTCAGCACAGGGTGAGTATCACTTTGTGACTGTGGAGCTATGCAAGCTAATCCGTGTTATGATTTTAAAATGTTGCTGGAAAATGAAACCAAAAAAATGAGAGACTAAAAAGGCCCTAAAGATTGAAGAGAAGTAATTATCTGAAAATCACCTACACTGTAGGTCGACTTTGAAAGGAGTGGTTTGGTGAGTTTTCGTAAATAAATTAATACGACCATTGTCAGTGCTGTCAAGGCACGCACATGAAAAAGCTCAACCCAAAAGAAACATTGAGCTGAGTCACTTCCACTGAAAACCAGTGACAAGCTGGTCAACCGGGGAGGTGTGGAGGGCGGTGACGGCAAGAGCCGGGGAATAAACGCACGCTTTGACGAGCGCTCTGAGCCCGAGAGGTGACAAGCACTCAGAGAGGCTCGCTGGCTGCCTGAGGATTCAGAAAGCAAAGAATGGAGCAAACGTGACATTTCTACAAAACCATTAAAAATCTACAGAGCAAAAAAAAAAAAAAAAACGTAGCTGCAGAAAAAAACGTTCATTCCATCTGTCACAGAAAGGCCTTGAAAGGAACAACAAATCGGAGGTCCATTTTGGTCTTTGGCCTCTCTACCCCCAGGCCTAAAAGTCACGCTTGTTCCTTGTCCCAACTTCAACCATCAGCGGAGTGAGAGGAGCCGAACGAACCAATGGCAGCAAAGCAAGCTTTGGCAATTGTGCACCACTCGCTGTTATGTATGTGGGCTGTAGTACATTAAGCATTGACCTTCTACTTCTTGCTTTGTCCACTCAGGGCGCCCTCAGGCATGCACTCGAGAATCTTCTCCTTCCGCACGGAAAATGGTGTGATTTTGCACTTGCGCATCAACATCGCTAGAGAGGAAATGCACCGTCACTCTCACCCTAAATTGGGTTTTATCTCGGCATCTTGGACGGGGAGGCCCGCAGGAGTTGCGACAGCGCAACGCTGCTGTCATTGCTAAAACTGGACGGACAGGCTGGAAAGGAGCTACAGCGAGAGGAGGGGAAAGAGGGTGCAACCCGGGACCCGTGCCAGTCAATCAAGCTGCCGAGGGCTGACGGGGGAGGGGACAGATTCCCAACGGGGCCATTGAAAGGATGGCATCAAGCAACAAGGGAAAATTCCAGAGAAAGACACAACTATGTCGAGTGTGGAATCTAGTCTATGTTGAGAATGCACTCACCAGATTGATTATTCGGTACACATGAGCCATACCATGATATCGAATATAGCATCTGCAGAGTAAAAAAAATAAAAAATTAAAATGTGCTTTTGATTGACACATTAAGAGAGGTATTCATTTAGCAATCTCCTCAACAAAAATGTTTTTTTCAATTTTAGTTTCTCTTTAGTTTTCATTAACTATAATAGTGCTGGTGGTATCGGGGCATTTTTTTGGGAAGTGCAGATGTACGGTATCAGCACTGACATGACACTGGAATAGGTACATCTTGATACTTATGTTCACATACATACATAATAAAGTAATATTCATTCATTCATTCATTCATTCATTCATTCATTCATTCATTATCCTCACAACTCAACTCAACTGTATTTATAGAGCACTTTCAAACAGCCATCGCTGCATACAAAGTGCTGTACATGGAGCAATTCAACATATACAACAAACAGTAAAGCAAATCTGTAATGAAGACGGTAGAAAGCACCGAACAGCAAAACCAAGAACAAATCTAAGTCATGCTGAGTCAAATGCCAAAGAATACAAGTGAGTCTTGAGGCGGGTTTTGAAGATGGGCAGCGAGGAGACTTGCCGAAAGGGTCACGCAGGGTGCTGGAGCCTATCCCAGTTGTCTTCGGGCAGTAGATGGGGGACACCCTGAACCGGTTGCCAGCCAATCGCAGGGCACACAGAGACGAAAAACCATCCGCGCTCACACTCACACCTAGGGACAATTTAGAGTGTTCCATTAACCTGCCATGCATGTTTCTGGACTTGAACCTGGTACCTCTGCACTGTGAGGTCGACATGCTAACCACTGGACCACCAATAAAGCAATAACTCTTTTAAATGTATCACACTTAATGATATAAACACTTGGCTTTTTTTTTCTAAATCTTCAAATATTTACAGTCATTAAGAATAAGAATGAGAATAAGAAAACCTTTATTCGTCTCACAATGGAGAAATTCCCAATACACAGCAGCAAAGTTATGAAAGGAAGAAAATAGAAAACAAAAAGTAGAGGAGCTGTGGTAAAGGCAGCTACTCTCGCAGCGCCATCTTGAAGTTATAATAACATACTCGGAAAATAATACAAAACAAACCATAAGACACAGACAGTCAGTCAATCTTAACCACTTTTCTGTTTCCTCTTTGTTGTGTACATGCTGTGGGCACACACGCAGCTGAAATCAACAGCCAGCCTGTTTCTGCCACACAGGAACCCCACTGAAATCTCCACTCCAATCACCTGAAAGCCCTGCCGCACACTGATTAACGGCACCGTGGGCGGTCTCAACAACAAGGACTCATACACAGTCCAGAAAAAAAACATCATAAGACTAATACGAGCAGTTTAAAGCAGTCACTAACGGCAATGGCAACATGGAAAAGAACATTTTCTGTCTGGGTCTCGCACACATAAAACACATAGCGCCGTTCCTCCAAGAGAGCCCATCACTCCGACATCCACTTTGAGAAATGAATGCCTCTCACAAATAAACCGCTAAGCCAATATATTTCTCTTGAATAGTTACAGAGGGACATTAATAAACATTTCAATCATCAAATGTAAATGAACCAAATGCTAGCCAAACGGCTAATTTCCAATGGTGGTCGCCCTGCCATAAAGAACATGGCTGACATGAAACGACAACTATGAAAATTAGCTCACAAGAAGGCAAAATAGAATCAAAATACAGACACAATCTTTAAAAATAGCAGAATACACATGACTAATAACCGTACAGTTATTAATGTTGACACATTTGGTTGTCAGTTAGCCATTTCTTTTCAATTGCATGTAATATATCAAGAAGGAGATGTACCGCCGCTCGTTCCTGCCGACTGCTGTCAGGCTACTGAGAATCTGGACTCACCCCCCACTCACCCATTTTTAATATGCTTATATTTATATTTTATATTTATATTTATTTATAGACTTTTTGTCTTCTACTTTGTCCATTTCATAATTTTGCTGCTGTAAATTGGGAATGTCTCCATTGCGAGACAAATAAAGATTTTCTTATCTTATCTTATAAATGAGATGGACTCTCATGTTTTGTGGGATTACATTCCACTAGTTAGTTTGCCCTACAAGACGAAACAGCAGTGCGGCTCTGTGGCACATACCCGCCCTTCTCAGATGAACTTCATTCTGAATTTCTCTGTGCAATTTTAAAGATGATGTTATAATATATAGAGACAGCATCTTGAAAGACGATTAGCATAACAGTTGACTGACGTGATCCTGCAACACCGTTGCGTGCATGTGTTTGCTTACGTAGCTTTTGTGGGCCCAGTCTGCCTCGATTCTTGCCGTTTCTTTATGTTTCAGCCTATATGCAACTTTTTATTTGGTACTTGATTAAATTGACATCATAAGATTATTCAAAAGTGTGTTTTTTAGTTTTTTTTTAAACAAAGTCCTCTCCTATTGCAAATTAACACCCCTAAGCACATTCTGCGGAATTTCATTTCATGGCAAAATTGAACAACAACAAAAAAAAAAAAAACCTTTCTTCTAAATTACCGCTTCTTTGTCCAGTGGCCTGCCTTCCTACATGTATCACTCCTCTCCAACCGCATTAAGTGGCAGAGTGCCCTGGTTGAGACTGACCGTGTGCCTCATGAAATTACATTTGCTACAGCAGGTAAATTCCGATAAGGCCGCCTGAAAAGCTACACTGACTGCTCATCCTTTTACAGGGATGAGCTATGCAGGCCTTTCAAAAGAAAGGGTTCAAAAGGTTCCGGCTAAGTGGGGTAAACTAATTCCTGATTAATACTATATCTCTATCTTTGTGCCAGATAAATACTATACAGACTTTCTCAAAAAGACAAATAATCCCAATTTGCATCAGCACCAACGTTGATCCAATCATTAATATGGCATCGTTGGTTTTGATATTTATAGATTAATTAATTGATTAATTACTTAAAACTTAGTAAAAAACATTTATCCAAGAGAAATGTCTCATTAAATGAATACTTGACTGTAATTTACATAAGTGTACAACTCTATTAGAGCTGAGATTTGCTTGACTATAAATACAATTTGGGGCTGTGAAAGAGATACTGTATAATTGATATATTTACATATCATCTACACATCTTAAGTGAACAAAGTTTTTTCCAATTACTTTAAAATCTTTTCCAAGTCGTTTACATTCATAACTTTGCTGCAGTGAATTGGGAATTTCTCCATTGCGAGACTAATAAAGGTTTTTCTTACTGTTTTTTAGTCATAAATTTAACAAAACAAACAAACAAACAAACAAACAAAACACCACATCAAAGACTACAAAGGCGAAGGAACGAATAAAGAGCAACTGGTGACGTACTTGTTCAGGTTGGCTTCAAGGCGCCAAGTACGGCTAAGTGTTGTAAAAGTAAGCATACGTGACGACATTTTATGTCACTTCACGTGAGTTTAGTTTGAAAATGATCCGCACGTACCTGCCAGAATCGCCTTCCCCGGGTGGGTTAACTTGGATTTCCCCGCTGGTGCCGCCGCCGCCGCCAGACACCTCGGCGTGTGGAAAGGGCTTCCAAATGTTCCTTTTGTTTCCATTTGGATATAATCAACTCAGCTCAGCTCGAGAAAAAAATGTCTGTCTGGTGTGTTTTAAATTAATCTTTGTAGCGACTGAGCTGCGAACAAGACCCAGTCACAGACACACACACACACACACACGGATGTAAGTCGGCTGTCTCGCACGCCCTCCCGGACTCAGGTGGACTCGCGTGGACGCGCGCGACGACTCCGTGCGCGTGTTCACAGTTGGACACGCGTGGACTGCCGTGGGAACCTTAGAACCCGTAGCTGCTACGTGTCACCATGGCGACGAGAGAATCGAAAAGTAGATGGTGAAGCAACCCGGAAGTAGGAAACGCTGGAGGAAAGAGGAGGCGCAGTCGTATGAAAAGTGTCCTCGCGATCCTTGCTGCGTAGAACTTTGATGTCCTCGAGAAAAGCGCGTTTGAGTGAGTGTTAGCTAGAGACGAGATGTCTCGAGGAGGAGGGCGTGGCGCAGGCGTTCCTTTTCTCTCGTCGGGATTTTCAGCAACAGCGAAAGAAACAAAAAGCTTGTTCTGTTGTTACTTGGTTTTTGGGAGACACGAGACACTAGAACGTTTTATCACCAGTGAGAGAGAGGAAAAAAAAAACGCGTGTCCACGTCGGCCACGCCCTTCACAAAGAGCAACACTTAGTGGGTTTGCAACCTCGACACAGTTCGACTGTTAATGAAACTATTAAAACGAAATAAGTGCAAATTAAACACGCGGAATACGTTCTTCCTTGATTGTAATTTCAGAGCGAAATTTTGATTGAGATCGTTGGAGGCCCGATTACTTTCACCCTATATCGTTGTCAGTGTGATTAGTCACAGTAAAACGAAAAAAAAAATAACAGTAAAGTGAATACGGTAATTTAAAAATCTAAACAACAGTGAGGGAAGAAACACGTAAGACACTGATGAATGAAACAATTACACTCACACACTTGTAAGCACACGAATTTTTAAATCAGAGATGCAAGTAAACCGATTCCTAATCCACCCTCGTTTTTTCTCGAGCACATCAACTTTTCATAATCGTAATAATAAATGTAAGATTGTTATTTATCGGGTGGCCCGGTGTACCAGTGGTTAGTGGGTCGACCTCACAGTGCAGAGGTACCGGGTTCAATTCCAGCTCCGACCTCCCTGGGTGGAGATTGCATGTTCTCACCGGGCCTGTGTGGGTTTTCTCCGGGTACTCCGGTTTCCTCCCACATTCCAAAAACATGCATGGCAGGCTGATTGAACACTAAATTGTCCCAAGGTGTGAGTGTGAGCGTGGATGGTTGTTCGTCTGTGTGTGCCCTGGAAATTGGCTGGCAACCGGTTCAGGGTGTCCCCCGCCTACTGCCCGAAGACGGCTGGGATAGGCTTCAGCCCACCTCCCCCTACCCCGCGACCTTTGGGAGGAGAGGCGGATCGGAAAATGGATGGATCGAGTGTTATATATTGAGCAACATTTTCTAATCTCAGGTTCACCAATAGGCTGAAGCTCGTAACTATACGTTTTCATGCACAGTACCCCCCCCCAAAAAAAGCTTTTATTGGTCAAAATGAAAAAACAGAAGTATCGCAAAATCCTGATGTGCTCCAAAAGAAAAAGAGGATTTTTTTTTAAACCAGTGATGCAATGATTTTCTGCACCAACTGCTCAACTGTTATAGTATTGCATTTCTACCACTGATCGCTTTAGCTCTGCTTGATACCTTGCACGCACATTGTCTCACAGCTGTCATTGGGTGGTACTACCACACACAGTACCCTTATATTACAGAATGTCTTTCCATACGTATTTGTCATGTCCTTTTTTTAATCATAGTTACTTGTTATTGATGATACTAGGGTAGCCTGTACTACCGGAGACAAATTCCTTGTGTGTTCTACATACTTGGCCAATAAAGATGATTCTGATTCTGAGATGGGCCCTCTAGGACCGGAGTGGATGACCCCTGGTTTAAATGAAGCTCAAAACTGTGTGTAGTACTAGAATTCCTCATCACTGTCACATTTCTAAGACACTTAGAATCTACTCCAGGTCAGCCTGTGTCGATTTTGCATGTTCCCCCTGTGCTTGCCATCCGGGTTCTCCAGCAATCTCCCACATTGCCAAAACATGCATGTTGGGGTCATTACAAACTCTTGGCCAAAAGTTAGGTGAGATAAGCTCTATTTTGTGGCGATTAGACAACACAAGAATCTGAACCTTTAACTGCTGTGAATTAATAAGATCACAAATTGTGTGTATACTTTATTTTTGTGCACAAAAAATGAGCGTAGCTTCTATAGGAGCATGAAGTAAACCTCCAAACTTGCCACAAAAGCATTTAATAACTGCTGTTTTTGGCATTTTGTCTGTTTTCTTACGAAAAAAAAAAAATCATTATGCCCCTCAAACTACAATGACATACTATAGACAATACATACGGTGTTTCATAATATTCTTTGATTAGTTTAGTATTTCAATATATCTTAAATTATACATTGCTTTCAGTACAATGATTATTGTCGACAAACTGGCACTAGGACACCCGCAAATTTTTCTTCTCCCTCTTCCTCTGTTCATCCCCAAATGTTCTGTTAGTCACTTGAAACAGTTCCATTGGACCTATTAGTATTAATACTTGATAGACTTGAGTGAAACATGAAAATTGTGCTCCTGCTTGCAGCATTACATTTTGGCAGCACATGCACAGACTGTAGCACATAGTATTTATTTGGAAAACGATTTTCTCTTGGGGGGTATCCCCCCCTCGTGAAACTCATTGCGAAAAAGTCAATAGATCAGCGTACAGACCATTTTATCACAGGAAAGGGATTTTCAGCTGAAGGGAGTGGAAATGTTTATGAGCATCTCATGGGTTGTGTGACTCGTCTCTCAAAGACTTTGACGCTGAACGCACACACACACACACACTAACAGACACTAGTCGCAGTACATTAACAGCACAAATTGTGTGTGTGATGAGAAAAGAAAGTGATTGCACGGTAACAGTCTCTCAACCCAGAGCGCCGTGGGATTCATCATGAACAAACTGAGCCCATTTTCCCCCCTCATGTAAGGCGGTATAGACATTTGGGGTAGGGAGGAGTGCAAAGCCCCCAACCGCTCCGCAACAGCGAATTGTCATCCTCAAAAAAACCAAGAGAGGACTCTCTAGAAATCTACATGTAACAGCAACAGGGCAGCAGTGAGGTTATGCTCTGCAGTTCAGTGCACCGTTATGTCCAGATGGGGAGAGGAAATGGATTAGAGGAGAGTTGATACCGACCCTCGATAATAGCGAGGAGGAGATGTTACTGCGGTTTCAGTGAAGTAGCGTGGTGCCCGGTTCCGGTTGAGGTTTCAGTTCAGAGAGCCAGAGCAGCTCGGTTCAGTGAGGGCGTGCTCGCGGAAAAGGATGGCTCGGTCCTCTACATGGGGAAGCCGTAAGCAGGCTGAGCGGGGTAGCCTGCGGCGTTGGCAGGGTAGCTATAGCCGGGATATCCCGGCTGGGGGGCCACTGGAGCGGGAGAACCGGTGAGCATCAACTGCTGGCCTGAACACACAAACGTACAAGGTCATGCATTCAGAGGTTGAGGCCATTTCATCATCTCATGCTCGTAACTTGACCTGCCTTGCCTTTAATGTTTGTTTGTTTGAATCACAACTATCCTGCAAGTCAACATTTTCTGCGTAGTTTTCACCCACACTAATGGCTGTTTGAATCATGACAACCAGAAACACTTGAAGGAAAAACCTTTGTGCCGAAAGCAGGTCAAACTATCATTTTTTTCCCCTTTTATTGTATAACAAATACTCGCATCTTGCTTGGTAAGATTTTCCATGTGCAATATGAACTGAGAGGTTTTTGTTTTTTTAAGTCATCAGCAAACTGATATGAGCCCCGCCCACCTCCTGGTGTGAGCCAAACAACAATTACCCTTGAAATGTTTTTTTTCTCATTTCTTTTTATTTAATGTGAAATAATTGCTGCAGTTTGCGAACAGAATTTCGCAACCAATTAACTAATGGGAACAGAGGTTAAACTGTACAATGAAATACTCAGCCGCAAATAAATGGCCAGTATTCCATGCAGTTAACAAACGGCATCGACCACTATTTGAGGAAATAAAACGTGACCCACATTGTGGAAGCATAGCAATTCGCAACAGTGGAAAGAAAACGCTGGTGCCAAAAGCAGTTCCAGAATATCCTCAAAATAGTGGCCGCCACTCTAACAGGCGCCATGCTTGCAGGTCGTCACTCCATCTGACCATTTTTTTCCACAAGTGGAAAGCGTCATTTCAGCTAGTTGGTGGAGAAACTACTTACCAAACACTATTGGCTGAGGCTCTGTCACCTCCTCTTCACTTTGCCTCTGGCTTTCAGCTGTCTCCAGTTTGTCCACCTGAGGGCACCAAAGAACAACATTCAATTCAACCTCCTTCGATGCAACCATGCACTTCTGTAAATATATGAAGAAGAAAATAAGTTGCTCAAATGGCACAGGACATAATCCAACTGCACTGCAAACTACACCCACGATAGTAAACATACTATCTTAAGTTATACTATTCTTACATCTCTAACCAAATCCAAGCATTACCGTAGTAAAGACAAAATTATCGGCCTCCAGACGAGCAACTGACATTTTAATCGAATGGATGTAAAATAAAAATAATGTCACAATGAGAGCATATAACGTTTGGAGTTAGTGTTTAATTTTGCACACAGTTTATTACTGTTTTCACCTGGCGTTAGAAAAAGGGAAACTTGGGGATGCGTCACACATCTGCCATGAGGGCAAAACCTGCGTCTCATAAAACCTTGATTGATTACACACTCACACACACGCACACACAGCAGCATTATAGCAGACGAGTTAGAGAGGTGAGAGGGAAGTGTTAGGCCAGAACAGACTAATCCTGCTCCTGAGAAGCTGGAGGACGGTGTGAAGGCTTCAGTTCCCAACATCAACACAAAATGAAGACACATTCATCTCGCTACTTCTTTTCCCACACAGAATACTTTGTAACATCAGCAACTGAAGACAGTCACATCACCTGGCTGGGCCATCATTCATATTCCAGTTGGTTTTTGGTTGATTTTATTTGGTATAGGGTAAAATGTGTAAATGTTTGATTCACTGTAAAAGCATTTTAAAGCAACATTTTCACATTCTTATGAACAGGGATACACCGATATCAATAGCGAAATCAATATCGGTACTTGTAAAACATTTGTGCGGACCAACTATCACATCACCAGCCGTCATGTAACACAGTTAACCGGTAATCCTTTGATGGTGGCTGAAGTGAAGTCACGCGAGATTTACGGACGTCTCACATGCTCAAATTTAGCCACTTATTAAATTCATCCAAACAAAATGGGTCACTTTTGGGCAAAAGTACAACTATATGGCTAGTTGAATTTGGAGGCAAGCCTGAAACACTACTGCACTATCATCCATCCATTTTCCGTAACGCTTGTCCTAATTCGGGTCACAGCTGAGCTGGAGCCTATTCCAGCTGC